AAATTTTTTTAAAAACTGGACAAAAGATGAGAAAAAGTCAGTAACTATAGAACTTGGATAATACAATTAATCAGCATGATACAATTCAATCGACTCTTTTGGAACTTGCATTCTCAAATTAGTAAGTGTACAATCTTCTCAGGCATACATGGAATATTTATCAAATATCACCCATGTACTAGACCATATTCTCTGGCCACAATACAATTAAGTCAGAAAACAAAAATAATAAATTCCATGTACTATGAAAGCAAAAATACACTGCTAAAAGCTCAAAGGAAAAAAACATAATGATTAGGACACAGAAGTAAATGTTAACAAAAATATTATACCTTAAAATTTGTAGTAAACAGCCAAAAGCTATCTAGAGGATTAACTATAAATTTATTTGCATGTGAAAGAAAAATAAAAGATAAAAATTGATGAGCAAAACATCAAAATGAAGAAGTTAGCAAAAAAAAAAAATCAACAAAGTAAACGCAAAGGAAGAAAATAATGAAGGGGCTAAAAATGTTCTTTCTTTCTTCCATGAGTGAGCGAAACACAGAGAAAGAGACAGAAAGACAGCACCCTGACAGGGTCTCCACAGTGCGATCCACCCCTAGCCTCAGCCAGCCCTGATTCATGGGCATGTGTGTGCCGGTATTCTCAGGGAGATCTCTAGACGTGAACCCAGAACCATCTTATGCGGGTTAGCCTCTCAGAGTGTTGTATTTTACCATAGTGCCCCTCTCCAGCTCTGTGAGAACAGCAATTACTCAGACAGAAAAAAGAAAAAAAACTCAATAGAGGATGATTAGAAAAAAAAAAAAAAAAAAAAAAGCTGGTTCTTTGAAAATAGACAAAGCTCTGGCAAGAATGATCATAGGGGAAAAAAAAGAGAAATGGCTTAACATTAGAAAAAAAAATGAGGTTAAATTTCAGATATAGCAGAAAATGTTAATAGCAGAACATTAGGTTGATCCTGTAGAGCAATGATTAAACACTATGCATAGGGAACAATATACCACATGGCCAACCATAGTTCAAATCCTGGAACTGATGGCTTGAAAAATACATTGGACATGTGTGTCAAAAAAATACTGACAGTATTAAAAAGTGGAGAAATGGGGATTGTGATGTGGCTAAGCTCCACTAGAGGTGTTTCTCTCCCTTTCTATCCCTTCCTAAGGCAAGTGTACATGGCTTCTGGCAATAACAAACCTAGAATATTAGGAGATACTTGATGCTAACATAATTAAAAATAAACATAATGGACAATTTCCTGGAAAAAATAGAATTCAAACAAACTGATCCATGGGGAAAAAAATAGAAAACCTGTACAAACCCATAATCATGAAATGCATTAAATCACCAGTTAAAAGTCTACTTATTAAAAAATACCTACTAGGGGCTAGCAGATGGTGTGGTGGTTAAGGTGCTGGACTCCCACATGGTCGATATTGGTTCAAGTCCCAGACCTGGTAACTTGCTTTGTGACTTTCCCTCTTTCTCTCTGGAGAGTGCACATGCCCGATAGCAAACTAAAATAATAATAACAATGATAAATAATTACTCTTTAAAAAAAATACCTTCTAGGACCAGACAGTTTCAGATGTGATTTACACCAGTCAATAAACAGTTAATTCTATCTTATATAAAGTGCTCCAAACAAGAAAGACTTATTCCTACCTCTGCTCAATTTATGAAGCTAACAGAACTTTGATATTAAAACCAGGCAGAGATATTATAGAAAAAAAATATGAGTCAATCTTACTTAAGAACATAAATATAAAGGCTTAAGTAAAAGTACAGCATGACCTAACTTGGATTAATCCCAGGAGATCAAAGACAGTTTAATATGAGAAGGTCAATCAATATATTTCAGCACATGAATATATTAAAGAAGAAAAAAAATTTATTGAGATGGAGGCTTGATAAAATTACTCAATACTTATCTGTGATTTGGAAATGAAAACAAACTTTAGTAACTAGGAATAGAGAGATCATTTTCACCTAATAGCAGGTCTCTATCAAATAGCACTTACCTGTAAACATTTTAAGGTAACTCTCTTTAAAGATCACAAACAAGTGGGACTAGCAGCGTAATGGCTATGTCACTGGATTCCCATGTGGTCAACCGTGGCTCCAGGCTTTGACCCGGTGGCTTAAACTCATGCTGGGCGCACAATGCGTGTGTGCCCAAGACCCTGAGAGGAGAAAGGAGGAGAAGGGATTGTGTCATGGCCATCCTCCCTGGGGGTGATTTCTCGCTTTCTGTCTCTCTGTCTCTCTCTGCCTAGGGAGGGCCCCCGCCCTAAAGAAAAACCACCCCCCCCCCCCAAAAAAAAAAAAAAAAAGAGAGAGAGAGAGATCACAAACAAGTCAAGAATGCCTGCTTATATTCCACTTTGTACTGAAGGTCTTAGCCGGCAGAGAAATACTTCACAGGAATCAAGATTCCAGAGGAAAAGACAATGGCAAAAGTATCTTGAGGGGACATGGACAAGGTCACAGAGATTTCTGAGAAGTGGCTAAAGAATACGATACTGCGATGGTTTTCCAAGTCCACAGTTTTCTTGTTTTGGTGACTCATTTTGATGCCCTTTCATTGTCTTATTTTTACTTTACACCAAGCCAACATACTCCCAACCCCCAGCTTTAAATTTTTTTTTTTTTTGCTATATGGCACTACCCAGAAAGAGACAGACAGACAGAGAGAAAGAGAGAGAGAGGGCAAGAAAGGGAAAGTGAGAAATCACCCCCTCAAGGAGGATGGCTACCCCACAATTCCTTCTCCATTCTCCTCTCCAGATCTTCTGCATGCACTCACATGTGCTTGGTGTGTCTTTAAAACTGTCAGACTTGGGACTTAAATGAGCAGTCAGCCATGTGGGATCCAGCACCTTAACCTCCATGCAATCTGCTGGCCCCATCCAGCCCTTTTATAAACTGGACATTCCAAGTTGGCAGAGCATTTGATTTAGTTTGACTTCCTGTTTGGTGTTAACCTGTCCCAGTCTAGCCCAGACAAGGAGGACGCTCATACCTCTGACAACTACCTTACGACGTCCTGATTCTCAGCCACCTAATGAAAGCCTGTCAATAGTACTGACCTTGTCTCTGCTATGACAGAGCCACGACTTTTCTCTGAAAAATCTTTTTGTTCTTTATCATTTTCAGTTCCTCTCCTCATTCTCTCACCCCAGCTCCTTGCAAATAATACTATGTCTTTAAAAAAATCCCATTTCAGTAATTATTAAGTGTTATGTTTGATTTTATTTACCATTGATTCTTTTTTCTTTTTTTGGAGAGATTTTTGCTACAGGGTGCGTACGCTTGTCAGAAAGACAGAGAGAGACAGAGCGACAGAAAGCGAGAAATCATCCCCCCAGGGGGGATGGCCACACCACAATCCCTTCTCCTCCATTCTCCTCTCAGGATCTTAGGCACGCAGACACACGCGCCCGGCGTGAGTTTAAGCCACTGGGTCCAGGACTCAAAACTGCGGTTGACTACATGGGAGTTCAGTGACATAGCCATTACACTAACTGCTGGTCCCTCCCCTTGATTCTTTAAGGGACTTGCTCTTGTGGCTTTTCTAAGTATTTTTATCCCATGAGTCACTCTGAGCAACTGACTGGGAATGTACTGAGAAGTTGTCTTCTTTTGCTAGGTTGATTTACTGTGCGATTGACCCTGGGCCAGTCATTGAACCTAATCAAGTAACTTCATTCATTGCTAAATAAAGATAAAAGGCAGCCTGGAAAAGTGGGTTAAAATTAGACCCTGCCACCTAGTGACTCACTCTCTTAACTGACTCACACAAATGAATGAACTTTTTCCTATAACTTGTCCATTTGAGGGGGGGGGGCTCCTTTATTATCTTTAACTAGTTGCAGCCTTTTTGAATCTCTTGCCCTTCATTCCTTCTCTAAGCGCTTATTTGATTTTACTGCTTAGTTTCAATGAATAACTATGGTATCCTCTAGTGATTAGCATAAAATAAAATCGTTATATTGTACATGAGCAACAGTTAAAAAAAAGTAAAAGAAAGAAAGAAAATAGGCACGAGAAATATGAGTGGAAGGAGCAATGAACTTAAACCCAAACTGATTCAAGTCCCAGCTCCCTTGTGTGCTAGTTTCCTGATCTGAAGAAAGCAAGTTAACCTCTCTGAGCCTACATGTCCTAATTTATAAGATGGCAACACACCACTCTCTTTTTAACCTCTTGGGAAACTGCTATAAAAAACAAAGACAGTGAATGTGGACAGCGCTTTGAAAAACTGTAAGGTGCTATATATTTGTTCATGATAGTTGAGTAATTCTATTCAGTAAATTTAGTCATAAGTTATAGATCTTAAGAAGATTGCTAGAGATATCTGTTCAAGTCAGATGAATATCACTAAAAATTATAAAAAGTAACTTAGTATGTAAATAATAAATTAGGACAAGGAAGACTTTAAAGTAGTAAAATGTAGCTTTATGTACAGATGAATATGATTTGGGGGCCTTTTGGAAAAGTAGGAAATAAAAGAATACTATACTTGATAATCTTTCTTATTCTAAATTTTAATCTCTTGAAGATATAATCCCTGGTAGATGTTAAAAATGTAAAATGAGGGACCAGCAGTCAGCGTAATGGCTATGTCACTGGACTCCCATTTAGTCAACCACAGTTCTAGTCCTGGACCTGGTGGCTTAAACTCTTGCTAGGTGTGTGCGTGTGTGTGCGCGCCCAAGATCCCAAGAGGAGAATGGAGGAGAAGGGATTGCGGTGTGGCCATCCCCCGGGGGATGATTTCCCACTTTCTGTCTGTCTTTCTGGCAAGCGCATGCTCCCTATAGCAAAAACCTCTCCAGAAAAAGGAAAAGAAGGTAAAATGAATGAAAGAAAAGCTAAAGAGCCAACAAATTTCAAGGTGTGACCAAAGGAATTATCTGCAAATATGATCACTGGATCCTACAGAACTTCAAGGAAAAAAAAATCTGAAGACAGAAACTGCTTCATTTTCTTACCTTTGCTCTGTATTAAAGAGTGCAAAGATGTGCTTGCTAGACATAAAGCTCTTTTCCACATCCCGAACTTTCAGGTTGTCCAAGGGAAGCATGTACTTCTTTTCTTTTTCCTATCAGAGAGAGAGGAGGGAGAGAAAACAGACTTCAATAAACCATCTTGAAGCATACCAAGGGCCACACTTCCCCTGAGTTGGCTAACACTTGATTACAGTATCTTGATACCATTAAACACTATTTTGATATCAGCTACCAAGGAATAGAAGTTATCTGAGAGAGGAGACTCCAGTGATTTTCAATATGCAGGTAGATTTAAAAAAAAAAAAAAAGTGAGGTGGTGGAGAAAGTGGACAGAAGGGTGCCAAGGTCGAGAAAACACATGGTCCTCTATCCTTTCCCCCTCGCGTGGGTCCTCCTAGATGTTTTTAAATGTTAGTTTGATATTAAGAATTTAGTCATCTGTTAATATTTAACAAAAATGTTCTGGTCCTAATTCAATGAGAAATGCCAGATGGATTTCATTTCGTGTTTTATTTGCAGCCTAAGCAGTTTTGATAGCCAGAATTGGCCAGGAGAGGAAGCACGAGGACCCCAGTGTGAAACAACCCCCCCCCCCAATAACTGATAAAGCACAGAAAAGATTTCTCTCATTTGGGTCTAGAATAAAGTATGGGTTCAGTGAGAGAAATTATTCTGTAAAGTTGTTGAGCTCTTTGGGGAGACAATGAACCCATTAGAAGAGAACCACTAATGACTAGAACAAATTCTCTTTTGAAATTGATAATTCTTTTCAAAGAATACGGACACTGGGGAGGAGACTGCTGCAAATGGGACCACACTGCTTTTAATAAAACATGTTAGATGCCAGAGTTACTGGAAACACTTGCTTTTAAGGACTGGCTCAGGAGCAATAGCACCATATACATAAATGCCTAACAACCAATTCAACGGGAAAGAGCCAAATACTCAGCTTGAGAAGACTAGTTCATACATTTTCTTAAAGAATTATTTTATTTAACTTTATTTATTTATTTATTTTAATTTGACCAGAGAGGGACAGAGTGAGAGTGAGAGAGAGAGGGAAAGTGAGAAAGAAAGCCACCAGGTCCAAGACTAGAACCACAGTCGGCCATGTGGGAGTCCAACTTGCCACCTGCCGGCCCCCTAGTTCATACATCTTACCAGGGGCATGTTAGCACAGCCTTTGTTCAGCAATCATCCTTAGACTGGTCTTAGGCTATATTTTAATGTGAGTCCTGCAAAACATCAGGACTAGACTCCAAAGAAGGAATATATGAAGGCTCGGATGTAACTTTTAATAAAGGATCATTAATGTCCACGGGATATATGCACCATATAAATATCTTTGACATAAACCTTTTGGCTCCTATAGCGTGTAGACAACTTCCTTGAGAATGTGTGGCTAGGTGAAGAAGCGCGGAGTGGGTCTCTTCTGTGCCCTACTCAGCTTAAGAGTGTCACACTGCATGGCAAGGAGTACCGCTGGCCTTGCCACTTCTCACCCCTGAATCAGTTAGGGAAAATTTGGGCAGAGCCCGTTAGTTTAGAGGGAGGGTGGCACTCCACTTGGCCACAAAGTCAGGCAGAGTGGAGCAGATGACTAAGTCGAAGGAGGGTGGTAGAGGAACAGAAGGGCTCTTCTGGCAGACAATGCCTTCAAAGAAAAAGAAAAAACAAACAAACAACAACAACAAAAACAAGACATAAACGAAACTGGGAGAAGCCTAGGAATGAACACGAGAGAAAAAAGCACTGTAAGAAGATTCCAAAAACTTGCTTAAAACACTTGTCAAACTGTTTTAGGATGGAATACTAAGAGGCAAGATTCTAGACTGAATGAAAATCTATCCAATACATAATCAAATGAAAATGCTTGAGACCCGGGGAACATTTTTTTATTGGATGTTTTTCAATGCCCTAAATTTAAGCAGCTGGATTTTTTTAATGCGCCATCCTATTCAACTTTTTGAAATGATGGATTTGTCTTTTAATGGGAAATCTGCATTTCATTGTAAAGATGGAACACAATGTCCTTGGCTTGTTTTCTATAGAAAGGGGCTCCCTTTTGTTCTTCAGCATATAGTGAAGTCTGAAAATCCAGGGAGTTTACGTCAGATATTAAGCACTGGAGAAACACACACACATGCAGACAGAGGAACATGAAAAATGCAGTCTTCGTTTCCAAAGCCTTAAATGTCATTTATCCAAGCTTTTTGAGGACACATTGCTAAATTATTTCATAATCAACAGTTTTAAAATTGACAAAGAAGAAAACGTTTTCAGACTGACTTGTTTAATTAAAGTTGTAAGTCAAACAGAATTAAATGCGAGAGCAACAGCTCTAAGCAGTGATGCAGTAAATCATGGGTATTTCTAAAATTCTTGGTACTTTGGGGAAAGAATCGTGTGCTGCTCAAAGATTATCTTGACTCTGAAATAGCTAAAACAAACACAAGGAAGAGAGAAGGAGAAAGGGTATACAGAATTATAATTTCTAGCCGATAGTACATCTCAGCACCAGCCTAATTAAAAAGTTTGCTAAATAATCTTGGTTAGTTCTGGTAAACTGTCTAGTATAATAGCCACTAGCATTTGAAATGTAGATAAACTGAAACGTGCTATAAATGTAAAATATACACCAGATTTCCAAAACCTTAGCATGAAAAAAAAAATAATGTGAACTACTAATTAGTACTTTTTATATTGATCGTATGCTAAAACAGTAATATTTTGACTATGGTAAGGTAACTAAAGCATTATTAAACATAATATCACCTGTTTATTTTGATTGGTTTAAATGTATTTTCCAGACAGTTTTAAATGGCATATGTGGGGGCCGGCAGATGACATGGTGGTTAAGGTACTAGACTCCAACATGGCTGACTGTGGTTCGAGTCCTGGACCTGGCACTTGCTTTCTCATTTTCACTTTCTCTCTCTCTGTCTCTCTCTGGTTAAATTTTTAAAATAATAACAAATGAAATTAAATAATAAATTTTAATGGCATATGTGGCTCTGAGATTAAATATCCGTTGATGGCATAGAATCCTGTGTGCATAACTTTCCCTCCGCCCACCCAACCAGTGTTCCTTTCTGTTCTCTCTGTTGCACTACCAGGTGACTCTCTCATTCTTCTAGTCACCCAATCTGAAAACTTTTGACATAGTGTCTTTCCTCACCCTCTTTATTGTATCAAGGGCATGTCGCATTGATAGCATCTGTCATTTGTCCGATGTTCCCATGGTATATTATTCCAGGCCTCTGGCATCTCGCAAGCATGTGGTTGTAAATGGGCTCCCATCTAGTCTCATTGCCTTTCAATTTCTCTAAAGTCACTGAGTGAGGGAAATATTTAAAAATGACTCCATCGAATTTATTTCAGTCCTTCAAAATTTTCAGTAGTAGGGACAGCAGGTGTCATGGTGGTTAAGATGCTGGATTTCTGGGGCCAGTAGGTGGTGTGGTGGGTAAGGGCGCTGGATTCCCACATGGACAACCATGGTTCAAGTCCTGGACCTGGTGGCTTGCTTTCTCACTTTCCCTTTCTCTCTCTCTCTCTCTCTCTCTCTCATCAAATAAAGGGAAAAAAATAACAGTAACAAATGGAAATAAATAAATAAATAATTCATTTTAAAAAAAAAAAAGATGCTGGATTTCCACATGGCCTATCACAGTTAAGTCTGGACTGGTGGCTTGAAAGTCACATTGGGCATGTGTGTGTGCCCAAAATCTCTGGAGGAGAAGGGATTATGGCGTGGCCAACCCCTGAGGGGGTGATTTGATTCTTTCCCTCTCTCTCTCTCTCTCTCTCTCTCTCTCTGGGAGCACATGTGTTGTATGGCAAATACCTTAAAAAAATTTTTTTTCAATAGCTTTTCACTACTTATAGGAGACAACCCACTAAACTCCTTAATGTGACCTTTAAAAAATCTACAAATTGGCCCAATTTGATTTATCAATACCTTCTTTTCTCCTTCAAGTAAAATCTCTTTTTCAACCAAATACATCTTTGTCAACAGTTTTTTCCCAACTTTAGATACTCTTTCAACTCTTTCCTAACAGGACAATGTTTATTATCCAGAGTCTAGCTCAAATTCTATTTCTATACAGAATGTTTTCCCAAACTTACAACTGCTCCTGTCACCTCCCCTTCTCTCTTCTTTCAATTCATATGACAGGCATTGCTTATTCTATTCACTTTAAACTACTTCTTACAGGAGGTGTCCTCATTTTATAAATGCGTTACATTCAGAAATATGTATGAAGGTGGTTCATTGGAACTCAGAATGTTTAGTCAATGCCATTGTTCAAGGTGACTACACCCACAAGGAAAAACAAAGTAGAGACTCTGTCTTGCAGTAAACAAGAACTAAAATGTGACTTTTTTTTTTTTTGAGAGGTTTTTTGCTATAGGGCGCTTGCGCTCTCCAGACAGACAGAGAGAGACATAGAGACAGAAAGCGAGAAATCACCCCCCAGGGGGGATGGTCACGCCGCAATCCCTTCTCCTCCATTCTCCTCTCGGGATCTTGGGCATGCACACACACGTGCCCAGCATGAGTTTTAAGCCACCGGGTCCGGGACGCGAACCGCAGTCAACTACATGGGAGTCCAGCGACATAGCCATTACGCTAACTGCTGGTTCCCTAAAATGTGACATTTTAAACATTTTATCTTTAATACATTTTGGAGGAGGTACTTGTGATGTTCTAGAGCAAGATCCTTTTTAAATGGAAATTCGGAAGAAAACTTTGACATTTTTTTTCAGAAGCTCTAGCGGCTGACATCACTGATGTGACATCATTCTTTTTTTTTCTTCTTCTTCTTCTTCACATTTAAACACATTACTTTCCTTCCCCTGGTACAAGGGATCACCAGCAATATTTGTGTTGGGGCATCAGGAAGACAGAGACTCACAGTTCAAAGAGAAAGGAAACATAAGGGAGCTGGTGTTCTTTTCCTGCAGTGACCGGTAAGAGTTAAGAAGAAATAGGAGAGACCAATAGAGGGTGCTTCTAATTGTGAAAAGTGCAGTCTGAGGTGGACGTAACTGAGCCATGAGAGCAAAAGGCAGCGGAAACAAGGTGAAAAGA